GGGGGCAGAGGATTTTTCCTCTAGCCTCTGCGTCCAGACCGGCTCTGGGGCCCACCCAGCCTCCTCTACAATGGGTACCGGGGTCCTTTCCCGGGTGTAAAGCCGGCCGGGGCGTGATGCTGACCACTCACCCCCATCTAGTGCCGGGGTCAAGGAAGAGAGGAGCTATACCTCCACTCACCCCAAACGCCTACATGGCGTATAGTGGGACAAACTTAACTTTACTTGTCAAATTCTGTTTGTTGTTTATCTTTTGAATAAATTTTCGTAATCACAAGAAGAATAAATAAAAAAGTACATTGTTGCACATGTTGAATTTTTGGTTATGGCTGAATATTCTTATTAAATTTTAGAAATGATTGTCTAAATGATGTTAAACTTGCTGCAAGAAATAAACCTGTCATGTTCCTTATCCATGTGACCATCACTCATTTTTAGAGTGGGTGATTGGGTTGGTGGAATTGTAGATCACTTGGCATCTTCACAACTAATGCATTTTATTCATTGGACCAAAAAATAATCCCATTTCTTCTAAATGTGATGAAGGGGTTAATCTTCATCCTTATCTTCCAAATCAAATTGATGCTTTCATAAAGTTTTACCTTTGTGTGTTACTGCATGCAACACTGAAGATTGTGATAATACCTGCATCACATATGCTTTCAGATAATTCAATTTAATTAACTGTTTCTCTTGTTTTGCTTTTGCTTCATATTTTTCACATCTGATATTGCTTTGTTATTTTCTTCTTATTTCTTTTGTATACATATTGTTTTCTGTTACACAGTCTGTAGTATTTTGCATGAAGTAATTTTACTATAAGTGTGTAATACTCATATTTTACTCATAAGGAATTAGATACTTTTATCTCCGTACAAATGTGTTATTAATTAAAGTTTGGTGATTATGATACACCACAGGGAGGTATGGAACTTTTGTAGCAGTTTCTTTCCTTTTAAATGTCTTTCACAGCCAATCTTTGCAGTACAGAATATCCAATTTGTAATGTTCAAAACTGTTGTTCTGGCCAGTAGATACTACCATTTATGGACTCTTTGACCTTCCTGGTCTCTTCTTGCTTTAGAAATGGTGGATGAACCCATTTGCTGAGGTGTGGACACCTATGAGGCCAACTCTTCTAACTCTGATGGCAGGATGATATTGAGAATGATGTATGGCAGAAGGAACCTATGTAAATCTTAGTATGGGCTCCAAACCATAATGAGAGCTGATTTTCTCCACTTTCATCAAGTTGTACCTTTATCATAGACAAGGCTTCAGAAAATAAGCAAGGTTTAAAATTTTTGTAATTTATAATTACACGGCATCTAATGTGCCTGATTTCAATTTGGAGGTACCTGGTTTAAGTCTTGGTCATGACACCAGTTACGCTGTAGTGCCGGGGTCAAGGAAGAGAGGAGCTATACCTCCACTCACCCCAAACGCCTACATGGCGTATAGTGGGACAAACTTAACTTTACTTGTCAAATTCTGTTTGTTGTTTATCTTTTGAATAAATTTTCGTAATCACAAGAAGAATAAATAAAAAAGTACATTGTTGCACATGTTGAATTTTTGGTTATGGCTGAATATTCTTATTAAATTTTAGAAATGATTGTCTAAATGATGTTAAACTTGCTGCAAGAAATAAACCTGTCATGTTCCTTATCCATGTGACCATCACTCATTTTTAGAGTGGGTGATTGGGTTGGTGGAATTGTAGATCACTTGGCATCTTCACAACTAATGCATTTTATTCATTGGACCAAAAAATAATCCCATTTCTTCTAAATGTGATGAAGGGGTTAATCTTCATCCTTATCTTCCAAATCAAATTGATGCTTTCATAAAGTTTTACCTTTGTGTGTTACTGCATGCAACACTGAAGATTGTGATAATACCTGCATCACATATGCTTTCAGATAATTCAATTTAATTAACTGTTTCTCTTGTTTTGCTTTTGCTTCATATTTTTCACATCTGATATTGCTTTGTTATTTTCTTCTTATTTCTTTTGTATACATATTGTTTTCTGTTACACAGTCTGTAGTATTTTGCATGAAGTAATTTTACTATAAGTGTGTAATACTCATATTTTACTCATAAGGAATTAGATACTTTTATCTCCGTACAAATGTGTTATTAATTAAAGTTTGGTGATTATGATACACCACAGGGAGGTATGGAACTTTTGTAGCAGTTTCTTTCCTTTTAAATGTCTTTCACAGCCAATCTTTGCAGTACAGAATATCCAATTTGTAATGTTCAAAACTGTTGTTCTGGCCAGTAGATACTACCATTTATGGACTCTTTGACCTTCCTGGTCTCTTCTTGCTTTAGAAATGGTGGATGAACCCATTTGCTGAGGTGTGGACACCTATGAGGCCAACTCTTCTAACTCTGATGGCAGGATGATATTGAGAATGATGTATGGCAGAAGGAACCTATGTAAATCTTAGTATGGGCTCCAAACCATAATGAGAGCTGATTTTCTCCACTTTCATCAAGTTGTACCTTTATCATAGACAAGGCTTCAGAAAATAAGCAAGGTTTAAAATTTTTGTAATTTATAATTACACGGCATCTAATGTGCCTGATTTCAATTTGGAGGTACCTGGTTTAAGTCTTGGTCATGACACCAGTTACGCTGACTGAAATATTTGTGTGTGTGTGTGTGTGCGCGCATGCATTTTTTCTGTACCTCCAAGTAAGTGCCAAGAAAATGCTGTAAAACTGGCTACAACTGCTTCTGCCATATTGCTCTCAATTCATCATCATTCGCAGTTGGCAATCATAGCTCTTGTGTTGATATATAACCTCAGTAGCAGTATTAAATAACTGAATAACCATCTACATCCAGGAAATCTCCATTGGCTAAAGCAGTATATTAGAGATCTTGTTGGATGTTTTTCTGTTTGTGAGTTGGTCACAAGTGTTTGTGTTACAGTACACCACGTAGTGCCAAGCCTTGGCTTGGAGCATCACAAAGGCTCAATTTTCGCCAACCACAATCCACCATGGAGACTGTGTTCTTTGGAAACCTGGTAAGTCTGTGTATCAGTTTCAAGAATGGAGTACACTCATTTCACTTCATTATATACCACTGACATGTAGAATTTTGATTATGGTCTAGAGTTAAGATATCAAGTTCTGATTGTATGTGATTTGTTTCACCCACAGAACAGCACAAAGTGTGTAAGTTCTGGAACTCGTCTGGCACATGCACGTCACGTTCATCAGGAGGTGTGCAGTATCTTGCTGGCATCTTATGAGACACTACAGGCACGATTGCAGGAGTACATGAAACTCCTGCCTTCCTGGCAACAGTTGAAGCTTGAAACTACTGACTGCTTCCAGAGGTTTAGCAACCTCAGCGACTTGGCAAAAGTGAGCACGTTTGCCTCAGTATGAGATTCTTCCTCTCCACACAAGTATACTGTATGTAAAATTGGGGTATGTCTTGCGATCAGGAACAAAGCAGATATATAACCACTGTGATTGTGTTTAAGAAGGCACTTTTTAATACAAGTTATTAGAGGCATGTCACATGTTGGATGTGGTTACGCACAGAATGTTTTCAGCAATGGCAGTTTCAACTGTACTAATACTTTTAGATGTTGCACCTCAATATTTTTTAACTGATTTTGGTTTCTGGTGACATGCAGTAAATTTTCCAGTCAGTCAGTATGACTATTACTACTACTGCTACTACTTCATATTTCATATGAATAATGAAGTTAATTTCTCTTGTTTATTCTGTGTGCATGCACACACACACACAACCTACACTCTCTTGTTGTGTCTTTCTTTGCAGTAATATATTAACACCTGTGATGTTTCCAGCAGTCTTGTTTTTGTAAGTTAAGCCATTGTTACCCAGTGTTACACATTAGAACTTGCCCATGTGTGATCTCACATAACTCGCATGTCTTCATGATACTTTCACTGTTAGTAAAAGTAAAGTCAGCTGTACATTAGTTATCAGTTCTCAGCTTTAAACATTCCTGCACATTAAAATATTTTCTTTCTCTAAAACTCACATTGGTGATATCTCTTAGAACACAAATGTCTGAACTTTTAGTAGGATTTAATCTGCTGGTGCATTTCTTTTTCATAGGACAGGCTTGCGGTATTATTATGTCTGTGCGTGTCCTTCATTAATAACTATTAAACCAAGTGGAAAATCTTCATGGAAACAAAAAAAGTGCTTACAGCATTCATGATTAAAGCCAAAGTTTCATTGTAGAAGCTGCTATTTTAAGTTCTGCTTGGATATAGTAAAGGGCTGATTGCCTGAAGGTCTGTGACAGTGTCTGATTTACTGTACTGTTACTTGTGTTGAACAGTGTACATGAGATACATGACTTTCAGGGAGTTGACTCTACTCCTATCTTCAGGTTATTAGTTATTGGATAGGAATTCTGCAAGTTTCTAATGACATATGTCTGGAACATCATCAGGACTTTAAAATAATAACCATTGCTGTAAACATCAAGAAGTCTGGTTTGAGGTTCGTACGGTGACGAGTATGAAGACGGCTGTCTTCTGGTTTGTACTGACATGTAGTCGGGTAGAAATTTCTCAACGTTTCAGGCATACTTGCTGCCTTCATTATCAGGGTGATGATGGAGGCAGCAAGGACCTCTGAAACGTTGGTAAACTTCTACTTGACTACATGGCGCAACAACACAGAAGACAGCCATCTTCAGACTCACTGCCATGAAAATGTCAAATCCTACAATCTGAGAGTTATTTGGTACCAGGTAAAGAATTTTACTTTTTAAAATGTCCAGTTCACAATCTCTGCCAGCTGATCACCGTGACTCAAAACTTTCTCATGACCCTAATATCTGTTAATGAATTATTTGGGCTAATAATTGAAATATAGCCAAAAGGTGTTAGAATCTACTACTGCTGATATGTGTCATAGGAGAGGAATGGGAAATTGTTTGATCGGACTGGCAGCCAGTTATTGTTTAATATGAGACATACCTCAGACAGATCTGCATCATGACCAAGATAAGGTTAAAGGGCGGAGATAGGAAGCAGTTAAAAATATGTAAATAGGCGATAGAAAATATTAAAAAAATCTTAAGATATAAGAAGTATGACTTTTCATGTGACTGAATCCAAGGAAGCAATGATTGTGATTGGGCCCATTATTTGTCTGTTGTGGAGGAGTGTCACCGGAACCTCCTGGCGACAGTCAATCATCGCTCTTCCAGCAACCATACAGAGGCTAACTGGGACAGACTGAGGGTAAAGCTGCCTGTACATCACACTGTTCTTTGCATGTTCTTCTGCTTCATTGGAATGGCATTCTTCTCTTAATCCTTTCCCACATTATTTTTTGTTAAGTGTATGTTTTTAATTAATAACTTCACAAGTAGTAACACTGTATTCATTCACATAACTCATTAACACTTTTCTTCAAATGATGTTACAGAATATTTTAGTGTGTGATTTAGGGAGGGACTTATGAAAATGTTGCATTGTGGAAAACATATATTCTTGCTTTAGTTTAACAGTCTGTCATTGGTATAGATTCTTTGAAAAGTGTGGAAGGAAGTGGTTGTGACTGAAAAAAAGGTACCATTGCAAGCATTTTCCTGGATGGATTGAGGAAAACCACCTGTTAAGATCACCAGTCTCCAGGTCAGCATTTGAACCGGACCTCCCAAGCACAAAATGGATGTGCTAACCAATCAGCAGCAATATTCAATGGAAAATATCACTGTCTTTCACCTATCTGTAAAAATTAACGCTTTATCCAAAAAGAAAAACCTTAGTAAGCTATTTGTGGGTTTAATTAATTAAAAAATAACTCTTTTCTTCTATTTAAACTCTGCTTGTGTGTATTAATTCTCTTCCCATCTCACATGCATTATGCCCATTTGGCGTGACACAGCATCTTGTCTGTCACATTTTAATGGCTGCAATCAGCAACATAGCAAACAACAAATAATCATTTTTATCAGTGTAATGATGCTGACCACTCACCCTTTGTCTATCACCAATATTAAGAATGAGTAGGAACTATACCTTCTCTCCACCCAAGCACGTACGTGGTGTATAGTGGGACAGCTTTACATTTTAGTAATTTTTCATACATAAAGTGGAATGCAGGAAATTGTGGGGATTTTTTCTTTTCTTAATTTTACAGCAAACGTTGAGTGTATGAATTATGTGATGAAATATGCTGCTAATGTGTCACATTGGCTTTGCATTTGGTTCAAAATATTTCATACTGTGCTTTGTATTTACCAAGGAATGGCACTTAGGTAATTTCTTATTGTCTTTATCTCTTACATAAGAAAATATGTAATGACCTTATCCTTAATTTATTGTACAGGAACATTACATACATTATTAATTTACTTTCCTGTACACAGTGTGGATTGTGTAAGGTTGATTATCTTTAGGATGTCATGGAAATATTTTTTAGTGTGGATTTAGTTTTATTATATATGTTTTAGTATTGATCCAGCAAGGAAATTGTATTCTCATAACGTGGCTAATTTACATTATGTAACTGGTTATCTCACAGAGTGGTGAGGTGGGGATGTCATGTCTGTTTGCATGTTTTATGTCTAAAACTATTGACTGAATGTTGATTATATTTAGTAAAAGATGTCAGGTTAATTTAATTTTGGTACATCATTTACATCAAGGTAAAATTCAAATTAATGTTTCTCTCAAAATGGCTCCTCCTACAGAAAACATTTGGGACATGAAATACATATAAAATATAGATTTTGTTAATGTCTGCAACATGTGTTTCAAACATCTTTCAATATGGTGAATATTTAATAAAGAAAAAGAATAACTTGACTCCATGCAGTGTGATGTCTGTAGTGTAATTAGCTTTATATCATTAGAGTTTCTTTAAACAGTAATCGAACATGAAGGTCAGTACTGTGTGCTCAATTTCAGAGAGGAAGTGCTTCAACACAATAATGAACTTTCATTGTAGCCCATAAGAGCATGGAGTTTCTTGAATGGCTTTAAGCACTGTACTTCTTACATAGTACAGTTCTGATGGAGGGCAGAATCACAGTATGGTTGCATAATGGATTATAGACAGTCGAGGTGCTAGGGTTGTTAATCACTCACCCTTTTTCCCTTTTTCAGTTTTGACAAGCTGAGTAATCTTTTCATGAAAGAACTTGCATCATGGAGTTAGATAGATAAATAGATAGTTAGCTAGCTAGTTAGGTAGGTAGTCATTTAGTTAGTTAGTCTCCTCATAGGGGACTGCATGGCTTGGTTTTTCATGGTGGTGATGCAGTGTTTTATTACTTGCCTTCTGGCAGGAAAATTTCTATTGGATCCTTGTCATCTTATAAATAATCACCCTCAAGTATGTTTATGATAAACCACTTTTGTATATAATAAGAATATGTCTTTAAGTGATTGTCCATATTCTGTTTTGTGCTTAATTATATAAAACCGAACGTTTGTAATTATTTGTGCTGACTGTTTTTGGCAGTTGGTGGAAGTTGAAGAAGAGTTTGTGACGATGGCAAATAGTGACATTGCACAGCTGTGTGCAGAAAATATTTTGCTGTGGCAGCAGTTCCTGGAGGCATTCTCCTGCAAAGATCCTGTTCACCAACATCTTGCTCGCCATCACCACCATCTCAGGGTAAGATGAGAAACAATTAAGCTTTTATTATAATGAAGTCATATTAACATTTCCTTCTTATTTACATTTAATCATTCCTAAATCTGCTGTCAACATTTACTTCTTTGCAGAAAGGTTTTTCATGGTTTTCAGTAGTCCCTTCAGGTAAATTGTGTGATATTGCCTTGAAACAGGGCATAATTACTTTCTTTCACATCCTTCCATTTGACTCTTATATGAACCTGTGCTGTTGAGAATTAGTCAGTAAATAAAAGAAAGAATGATAGAATATTAATTATAGAAGAATGCTGAGTGATATTTTAATATGAATTTCACCTTTCTTTTCCAGTAATGTTTTATGAGCTTATTGCAGGTATTACATCTGTTAAGAGGGTTTGCTATACTAACACAATAATGAACTTTCATTGTAGCCCATAAGAGCATGGAGTTTCTTGAATGGCTTTAAGCACTGTACTTCTTACATAGTACAGTTCTGATGGAGGGCAGAATCACAGTATGGTTGCATAATGGATTATAGACAGTCGAGGTGCTAGGGTTGTTAATCACTCACCCTTTTTCCCTTTTTCAGTTTTGACAAGCTGAGTAATCTTTTCATGAAAGAACTTGCATCATGGAGTTAGATAGATAAATAGATAGTTAGCTAGCTAGTTAGGTAGGTAGTCATTTAGTTAGTTAGTCTCCTCATAGGGGACTGCATGGCTTGGTTTTTCATGGTGGTGATGCAGTGTTTTATTACTTGCCTTCTGGCAGGAATATTTCTATTGGATCCTTGTCATCTTATAAATAATCACCCTCAAGTATGTTTATGATAAACCACTTTTGTATATAATAAGAATATGTCTTTAAGTGATTGTCCATATTCTGTTTTGTGCTTAATTATATAAAACCGAACGTTTGTAATTATTTGTGCTGACTGTTTTTGGCAGTTGGTGGAAGTTGAAGAAGAGTTTGTGACGATGGCAAATAGTGACATTGCACAGCTGTGTGCAGAAAATATTTTGCTGTGGCAGCAGTTCCTGGAGGCATTCTCCTGCAAAGATCCTGTTCACCAACATCTTGCTCGCCATCACCACCATCTCAGGGTAAGATGAGAAACAATTAAGCTTTTATTATAATGAAGTCATATTAACATTTCCTTCTTATTTACATTTAATCATTCCTAAATCTGCTGTCAACATTTACTTCTTTGCAGAAAGGTTTTTCATGGTTTTCAGTAGTCCCTTCAGGTAAATTGTGTGATATTGCCTTGAAACAGGGCATAATTACTTTCTTTCACATCCTTCCATTTGACTCTTATATGAACCTGTGCTGTTGAGAATTAGTCAGTAAATAAAAGAAAGAATGATAGAATATTAATTATAGAAGAATGCTGAGTGATATTTTAATATGAATTTCACCTTTCTTTTCCAGTAATGTTTTATGAGCTTATTGCAGGTATTACATCTGTTAAGAGGGTTTGCTATACTTTGTTCTCTCCCCCCCCCCCCTGCAAATTATTCTGCTCTTCCACATTTAGTTCTATTCTCCTTCTACTTCTCCATATTTAATCCTCTTCACCTACTCCTCATCTTCTTCATTTTCTACTCCTTGTCAAAGAAGTTCTTAGTTGTGATACAAATTTAACATACAGTTTTTTTTTTTGCATGCAGACATGCAAACCAAATGTTTTAATTAACTACATTGATTCTAATATTAATTATAATAATTCTCCTTTTCTCCCCTGCAATCCATTTTATTTATTTCAATATGTTTTTTCCATGTTTTTCTGTGAATGTACCTCAAAGTGTCATTGATTCCCCATACAGTGAACATGGCAGAATTCATCATTTATAACTATGATCATTGTAAACAAAGTAACACATTTTGTGCTAGGTTAGTTATGATATCTGTTAGTTTACAGACATCCATTATCGCTGACCATCTTGGTGATTTACAATAATTAGTTCTGTAGGTGAGGAGGCTAGGGCTCGATTTTGGGCTGTTACGCCATAGTAGTAGTAGTAGTAGTTCTGTAGGTAATTTTCAAATAACAGATCTGTTTGCTAGGTAAGAAGCCGTGATTACATAGTAATATGACAGATGAAAGTTATTTCCATCTAGGAAATGTGGAATTTTCTGTTTACTACCACATTCACAGCAGGTCTAGTATCTATCCAGCATCCCGTTCAGTGGATACTAGAGGTTCTTTCCACAGCCAAAATATGAAGCTGATATCTCATCATGCAGCTGGTGCTGAGATCTGCTATGCATGGATATTTACACTTATGCTGTCTCATAATCCTTCACGATGTGGTGCTTAGACACATAGGGCACATTTATCTTATTTTATGCTCTAGGTGAAGCGGTTTGCTGAAGCATTTTTTGTGCTTGACAACCCCCGTCAGTCCGCAGCAGGGTGTTATGATGCCAACTATCAGAACTACCTTACTGTGTCTGATATGGTACGCCGGTCTCGGTACCTCGCAACTCTACCTCCACTTCCTGTTCAGTGCAGTGAGCTAGATGGTGACATCACAACATTGCCCATCATCTTTGAGGACCAGTATCAAGACATGGCAGAATTTGCGCGTAGACGCAGTGTTGCAGGTCGCAAAGCAGGCAGTGGTAAGCTTTGTCTTGCAGTATGCCTTTTCAGGTTGTGCATCACCTTGGTATAATATTACACATGTTACGTGGGTTCCTTGGCTTTATGGCATGGCATATTCTTAGGTTGCAGATGGAGGAGAAGATTTCCAGATATTGGGGGTAACTGCGAATATATTGAATGAACAATTACAGACAACTGATAGAAGTGGTCCTCCAACTTTTGGGCAATCAGTCATGTTAAAATGGAGTTAATTTCCCTTTTAGGGAATGTCTATGACACATTGGAAGTTCACTTCATGGCCATTGGCTTGTGAAGATTTCATTTAATAAAGCATCAATTTAACAGAAATACAGCAGTGCAGGTATAAAAGATGACAAACAGGGCTGAATGAGATCTGACTACTGTTACCACTTGTTTTGAATTATTGGTAAACATGCAGAAGTACCTTAGAAGTTTGAATGTCATGGTACACTGACATTATCACATAAGACCCATTAAAAATATTGAACTAACATCGTGGTATAATGTTTTCCTCAAGCAGTTGGCAGTTATTCAACTCCTTAGGAAATTTCCTGCTATTATTTAACCTGAAGACTGGTCACCATGATCATAAAATTACGTCAAAGTGAACCAATGCAAAATGTTTCCTCCTGTGTTTTTGTTTGAACAGATCCTTTCTTGAGCAGTTCAGCAGATACCAAAACAGAAAGCCACACAACACTGCCTCCTCAGGAAGACTGCAGTTGTGGTATTGCTGCCATCTTGGAGTCACGCTCTCATAAGATCCCAGCATCGGTGCGATCCAGTTCTAGCACCGCTGCACCTTCATCCTCACAGCCCATGCCAAAACCAGGCTCTGGACGACAAGCCATCATACCCTTGTCTCTAGGTAAGTGTTGCAATGAACTACATAATCCAGTTTCTTCCGTTCGATGTTTATTTAGTCAGCTGTCAGAAAATCTCCTGATTCTATGAAACTTGAAAGCTTATTGTGGTGTTCTAAAATCTCACAATTAGATGGTATTCTGATCTATTTGTATTCAGTACACACCTTCACACCATATTTGTCTTAAGAAAGATTTTAATATTATCTTCTGTCTTTGCTTACATCATTGAAATTGTCTTTTCTTGAGATTTTCCGATGAAAATTTTGTATGCATTTCTCATTTTCTCCTTTCATTTTTCATATCCTGTCCGTGTTATCCTCTTTGATTCAGTCACCTTTGACAGTTCTTAAAAATGTCATATACACTGCTTTTTTCTTCTTTTATCTCTCTGTTCTGCTTGATTGAAATCTGTATAACATTCCTTGTGATCGCAGTAAAAAAAGTCATCATGTTCAATTATCCCCATTGCAAAGTGTTTGCAGCCTTCAGCCCTTTGCTTATGGCTACTTGCAAGACTGCACCACATTCTTGAATCCTAATTCATATTAAAAGAGTGCTTGTTTTAAATCTTGTCTGCATTACTGGCTATTCTGACAGGTCATTCATGGTTTTCCTCAGTCTCTCCAATTGAGTGCTTGGGCAGTACTTCAAAGAGGCCATGATGATTTAATTCGTAGTTGTTACTCTGTCATTCATGATCATCTTCCCATCTCATTAAGTTCTCTCTAACTTCTGCAACTGAAATAGCATCTTTAAATAACCAAAAAATATTCCATTTTTACATTGTAGGCACTCTTGGTGTGAATGAGCAGCGGGTCCTTCATGTAGGGGACGTGCTGAAAGCAACACTGACATTGGCGCCTCACACTGGTCGTCGTTCACGCCATCATCACTATTGTGATGCTCCAGCATCTGCCACAGCAACATTACTGCTTCATGGAAGTAAAAGAATGGACAGTGATAGTCTGACCAAGTCTTCACTTCCTGCACGACACAGCAAATCTCTGGACCAGTTACGTACTACTGGCACTGCTGCTTCAGAGCCTGCCCCCATCCCAAGACCACTCTTGCCCTCATGTCATTTGCAGCCACAACCTGTGACCCCCACAGCATCATCATCTGCCCCTAACCCCTCCCTTGGAATCCCACATATGTCAAGCATGGCACGTTCCTCTTCCACACAGATCCGCCGTGAAAAGAGTGTTGACTGTTTGAAGCCCTGTATTAGTGTGACTAGCACAGTAGTTTCATCAGCCACTCTACCTTTGCCTCACCATACACCCCTCATTCCCATTCCAATACGCAACAATCTCAAGGAGAAGTTGAAAAACAACTTACGATTAGAGCTTAAAGTAGCCAACGGTAATGGTGGTGCTGCTACTTCTCCATCTACTGACTCAGGAGACTCTGTGGTGGTTGGATACCGTCGACTGGAGCAGAGTGCTAGCGTACCATTCAACCTGAGCGAGGCTGTCAATGGAGGAGTGTCTCCCAATACAATGAAACATTCACAAAGTACCATGTCCATGCCGAGTGTGGCAGTGCTTCAGCGTGAATGCCATGCTGGCGAGTCTTCCGAAGCTCTTCTTGGTGGTTCACGGTCTATAGGTGCCAACAGTAGTGAATCTATGCCAAACCTTGTGGCACCACTTGCTTCTCCTCCTCCAGCCATTATTGTTCCACCTCCCGTAACAAAGTCCCAGCTAGATGAACCTCCATTAGATTCCATAATTTCCATAGGTGGTCCACTCCCACCCCCTGGGGAGCTGAGCAAACTGGAAGTAGGTCTTTACAGTTCAGTTGATCCTGCCCTGATTTCTGTAGAATCAAGCCTTGCAGAGCCCCTCACTGTAGCCACTACTGTCACAGTTAAATCGAAGTCTCAGTCACCTGGTAAATCACTTTCCTCTCCTCCATCTTCGTCCCTCTCAGATATTACTTCAGAACAGAGTGGTTGGGTCTCCAACTCCAGCCGACGCACCTCAGGTGACATGTCTAGTGGTCAGCTCAGTCCAGATGGCAGTGACTTTGGCATCAAGATGCACATGGACAGGCATCCAGCATCTACCACTTCAAAGCAGCAGCAACGAATATTGAACGGTGAACAGCTGCGAGCAAGGCTGCAGAAACTAGTGGAACCCTCCCCCATCATTCCAGAACCCGAAGTGATAGACCACCCATATGAAGAATTGCGGTTACCCCCACCCAAGCAGTTTCGTGATGACCCTCTGCCTCCAGAGCCCTTCAGGGATCCACCTGTCCCCCCACCAAGACCTACAATTCCTCTGGTGGCACCCAAGCCAAAGCCAAAGGTTTTACCTCCCACCCCAATAGACAATCTGTTGTACCATGTGTATGAAAGTGTGAAAGAAGTGGAGAGGAAGCCAGTAATTGAACCCTGTCCTCGAACTGCCCGTGAACGTGAACATGATCGTGACCGAGATAGAGACAGAAATTGGGACAAAGACAAGCCTTCAAAAGATAAAGACACTCAGTCTCAGACTGGTGGTTCGTCCTTGCAAAAACTGGACAGCAGTGAGCATGTCAAGAAAACACCATCACCAAAGTGAGTTTCAGCAAGGCTGCAGAATACAGTTTAGTTACTAAGTCCATTCATGCAAAGACAACATTATGTTCATAAATAGTTTTAAAAGATATGTATACATACTCTACATTGTGTTATGTTATAGTGGAGTGGTTAGCTCTCCTACTTCACATTTGGGAGGTCCCAGGTTCAAATCTCAAAACATTGTTCTTTTGTGACCATGTGACACAGCTGATTTCCTGTGAAGACTTCATTGAATTTTGTGTGTAAGCTTTTGTGGTATCTTCTGATTCTAGGAACTGTACTTTTTTCTGCATTTGCTCATAGGTGAATTTGAGGAATTCAATTTCATTTGAAGGTAGTTAATGAAATATTTGTCATAGTTTTCCTCGCCTAAAAAATGGAGTCTGTGATTTTATGAGACAGGAAGTAGTCAGAAAGATTGAATTGTGGAGGAATAAGCCACAACCAGAGTAATTTTGAGATTTGAAATTTTTAGTTTGATTACAAATTTCTGATTATTCAGCTATGAAAGTTGCATCTTGTTTTGCAGGGTTATAGAGAGCCAGCAATGTGTCTGCCCCACTAGTGCGTCTCCTCCCATATCATCCACAGCAACAACTGTGACACCAGCAACCTCAGAGAGGGAGTTGCCATGTGACTGCTACAATAGCAAAGATGGACAGGAGCAAGTGTGCCAGAAACTAGTTCAAGCTGTTGGTGATGACACACTCAGCTTCATCAAATCCAAAGAGGAATTTAAACGTCAGATGAATTTTACAGGAATGATATACAGGTTAGTACAGTAGTTGGAACAGTAGAGTCATTTCGTGGTAAGATTTTAGGTTTTCATGGCAGCAAGTATGAGATGCTTTCTAGTAGACGTTCACCAATGTTTCAGCAACATTTTAGAGGTACTTGCTACCTCATCACATTGATGAAGGAGATAGCAAGTAACTCTGAAATGTCAGTAAACTTCTGCTAGTCTACATGGTGCAACATCCCAGAAGATGATCATCTTAAAGACGTTTCATATTTCAGTCTTGATGTTCTCATACCATTGTATAAGGCAGTTAGTTTTATTAGATACCGTCAAGTACAACTTTTGGCAGGGCGGTATTTACACATTGCTGATCTCCAGCATATTTCATATGACCATTGTCAGCATAATCAGACGTACTCTGACACTTTTTCACAACCTGAGGCTCGTGGATATACTTTGGCCTAATGATCTTGAAGATCTTTCCAGGAGTTTACATTTGAAGTACAAGCTGTAATGTAAAATCAGAGGCAGGGCTGAAAGCAACAAACAGCAGGTTCTGTGAAAGAGGACATTATAAGGATGGCCAGCAGAATAAGTAAAGGAAAATGGAATGGTGGGGTTCAGCAAGATGTAAAGGGAGCAAGTGAAAACTAACTGAATAGGTATGGGAGTTGGTATATCTTAATAATTTTGTGCTTTGTGATTATATATTTAGTGATGACACACACATACAGTGTTGAAACATGTACATTTTCTTGTAAATAAATAAAAAAAACATTTTGTGTAGTGTGTGAATCTTCATATCATGTTAATAAGTTACACTACAGAAGAATGTGCTGTAATGTTTCCCATGCATATAACATGTCACATCTGTCTCATAAAACAGTATTAGATGAAGAACAAACATTATGAAGCTTTTCACTTCGTAATTTTCTTCAGTCCTTTGTTACTTCATCTTCCCTATGTCCACAAATCTTCAACTGCAATTTGTTTTCAGACATCCGCAGTTCATAATGCTTGAGGTTTTCACAGTACTGCATATTTGTTGCAGTCTTTGCACAATGCACTGTGTTGTAAATATAAAGTCATCCCATGTTTAAGTACCTACTACCTCCAGTTTTATGGTTGACCCTGCACTGTGACATAAAGGTAAAGACGTCTGAGTATTTAAGTAGACCTAGTGCCTTCTTTGAGATTAACCAAAAGAAGGATGCAGTATGTCCTTAAAAATGTTGAGACTTTGTTTATATTTTCTACTGCACAATATCCAAAAGACTGCAACCCTTAATTTATGTTTTCCTTTAGGGTGAGAAAGTTTCACACAAATTCAAAACAACAGTAAAATAATTGGTTTCTCTATTTTGATTTTTACATGTTTAGACTGGTTACTGGAATTACATTGCATGAGTAATCAAATTGTTATCTCATTATTCAATAAGATTGTGTGCTTGTATGCAGTGACTTCCCTACATTGGCATCAACACTGCCATACTTCCACATCAGCGATGAGTACCGCATATTCTCGCCTGAGGGTTTGCACCTCATTGTGTGTGTTCATGGCCTAGACGGCAACTCTGCAGACTTGCGCCTGGTGAAAACATACCTGGAATTAGGGCTTCCTGGTGCCAACTTGGAGTTTCTCATGTCAGAGAGGAACCAGGTAGTTGCCCCTACTCCCACTTGTTTTATATGATGCTTTGAAATTAGTTTCTTGGAATGAAATATATAACATTATTTTGTAAATTATAATAAAGTTTGTTGAAACTAACCTGAGTGCACCATATCTGTTGTCCTCAGTATACATTTTACTGGCCAAGATGAATATAGTCAGCAAGTATATGAATGTACTTTATGACCATAGTTTGACGGCTGAACACTTTATAGGTAAAATATATCCCAATACACATTCTTTGACTTGTTGGAAGCTAACTTTAAATGTTTAGTAAAAATTTGTAAGTCACTTCATGCAGTACTCTGTATATAGTATAGAAGCTTTATTGAAAGTGGCATAATATTTTAAACAAATTCTGGGAAGAATGTATGACACCTACTTTCCTTAAAATGCTTTAGCCTGTTTATTGAGGTTAGCAAGAACTAAAATTAATAATTATTACATTTAGTGATCCATTTATGTGTATAATTTCCACTGGTACAGATTTGAGCTGTGTCAAATATAAACTCAGTGTTACACATTGTGAGTATCATAGTTGCCCAACTATAGGATGAGATTTTTTGCTTTTGTTTCCACTAATAAATGGAGTTATGAAATGAAAAAGATGCATGAAAGGTAAACCTGATTCAATAATTTTTGAGAAATGAAGACATTTTGCAACTGTAGCACACTTGAAATACAAATTCCTGTACAGTATCCATACATTTCTGGAGCATCAATAGCTGGATTTTCATTACCATAGCTGTCATATTTGTAATCAGCCTATCCAGTTCTATATTTTGGCTCCATCAGACAAGATTCTGCATTCAGATGAATTTATACTTATTCTCATTCAAAGAGAATTATACTTGTATAGCTTGTGGCTAGGATAGCTAGGGTATGTAATAAGATTATTAATCAAATTTGAGGATTGTTTTGTTAACATTTATGATTGGTAAGGTGGTGATTGATATTTCAAAAGGCTTGCTTGAAATGTGGAGGTTCCAGAACAGTTCAGTTACCACAATTAAATTTATTTGCACATTACAAATGTTATGGCATTTCTTATAACAGTCACTAGATGAAATTCTGAAATATAGCTTGATATTTAAGTGGGTAACACATTGCGATTACATTAACAGGGCGATACATTCTCAGACTTCGATACCATGACAGACAAGTTGGTAGCAGAGATCCTGTACCATGTGGAGGCATGTGGGCTCAACCCGTCCAAGATTAGTTTTATTGGTCACTCACTGGGCAACATTATCATCCGCTCAGCCATCACGAGGCCACAAATGAAACACCTGCTTCCACGCCTACACACCTTCCTCTCTCTGTCTGGACCACATCTTGGCACTCTGTACAACAACAGTGGCCTTGTGAACATGGGTAATGCCTTATATATAGACACCCTAGAAGTTTAACATGACAGCATGATACTATTTTGAATGTTAGAACTGGGTAGATTATGGTTTATAAAATGGTAGCTCAATAATTACACCTATACAGAATATGGAATTCCATTCCACATTTGTTTAACTGATTATTGTAGTAGACTTCATTGTATTTAGTCTCCTTGAGCAATGGGAACAGAAATGTGCTCACCCATTTACCATGGACAAGTTAACAGAGACGTTTGATACATACCTTTTAGGCTTAATTTATTTCTTGCTAAAATTTATATAGTATTTATAAAACTATACCTTTCACCAGATTACAACTATTTGTATGACGTGACTGAATTTGTGAAGTGGCTAATAGATATAAGTTGTATTCCTAAAGTCCTAGCCATGAGGACTTCAGACTTTCATTTTGTTCAGGGATGTGGTTCATGCAGAAGTGGAAAAAATCAGGGTCTCTTCTGCAGCTTGCATTGCGTGATGCTACAGATGTGCGCCAAACATTCCTGTATCGTTTGAGCCAGCGTTCTAATCTTCACCACTTCCGCAATCTGTTGCTCTGCGGATCATCTCAGGATCGTTACGTTCCCCTTCACTCAGCCCGAATTGAATTATGTAAGGCTGCAGTTAAGGATACATCTGTACAAGGTATTACTCTTAGATGACACAAAAAGGATGAAAATACAAATGTTGCATTGAATCTTTTGTAGATACAAGAACAGGTTTTCAGGTCTATTTCAAAAGTTACAAGCATATTTTGCATTACTTAAACAAATAATGTAAATGAACTAATAATGGGAAGGTCATTTCTGTCCATCTGCATGTTTAATTTTGAAAAGTACTGTTCAGTTTTCAGTTGAAATTTATATGAGAAATCCATGCCAAAAATTGTGAAATGTGTTTTAGCTTGTAGCAGTTGTGTACAGTACCTGCTTCATATGCTAAACTCGTACATATTTATTTTGTATGAAGTCCATATTTAACTGCATACATTTTCAAATAAATAGTATGTCACCAAAGCAGTTGATACATTGTATAATATATATTAGACATCATTAAGATCTGCAACTTTTATATGAAACTTTTTTTTAATGGAGGTATATTTCATTAAATATAGGCAAAATATTACATTTCCCTGTTCCTAATGAGTTTTGTCAAAAATATGCTTTGTGTTGGTCTGCATTACTAAATGATATTGAATTTTCTACCTTAATAGTTTCATAGAAGGTGATTAAGACAAAATTATATTTTAGTTTGTATCTGCAAAGAATTAACATCAGGACAATAAAGGAATGTGATTTTGGAAAGAACACATTCAGATAAATGTGCATACTCCATTCAAGTACACATTTTCCGTTTTGTTTTTAGGTGCAGCATATCGTGAAATGGTTCACAACATCCTGTATCCTATCATCAACAAACCAGAAGTAACATTTGTGCGCTATGATGTGCACCATGCACTCCCCAACACAGCCAACTCACTCATTGGGCGGGCAGCACACATTGCTGTCTTGGATTCTGAACTGTTCATTGAGAAGTTCCTTGTTGTTACTGGTCTCAAATACTTCAGATGAGGTCACCACTCAGCGTTACCTGGCCTCTGAGCAACACTGGTCAATCAAACTGTCCGCTGTTAGTGTAAATTGATGACTGTAGGTATCTGATTGCATTTGAGTTTTATTTTGTGGGAGGGACAAGTGAAGGAGATGTTTGTTGAATTTTCATGTGGAAAAGATAATATTTCTACAAGACAACTGATACCTATTTTTTGTCTCCTCTTAGTTTAATGAATATAGTAGAAGACATATTTTCATCTTGTCTTGTGCAGTGACATAGGTACCCATGTTCTAATAGGTGTATTATAACTGTATAACATGTGAGGTGCCTGCATAAGCCAACATTTACAACATAAATCATAACAGTTTAAAGGTTTTTGACAAATGTTTATCATTAAAGTGATGCATATTTTTGGACATTTTCCCTCATCCATGTTTTAAAACCACACAACGTTTCAGAAGCTGTGATTAGGTTGTCACCCTACTCAGTTGGGTCATTGAAAGGAACTATCTCAATCCCCATTCCTTATTCAGGTGATTATCTTACTCATTTAGGCCCAATTGAAAGAGCTGTCTTGCCTGGACTGTTAGTTGTCCTGACAGGTTTTTCATTCATTTCCTCACCCTGTCCACTTGACTGATAAATTTATAGAAATAGGCAATGATTATTTTCTTCCCAAACTTTACAAACTGATCTTCCCTTAGGCTGGGGCCACACGACTGTACAACGGACATACTTTGTACCACTCCTATTGGCTCCACTTCCCCTGGTCCAACCAAGGCTCTGCCTTGACTGACTGATTCCAAATGCGCTACAACGGACATACTTTGTACGGTCGTGCGGCCCCATCCTTAGCAGGATTTTTGGTTTTCACAGTAGTGAGTCAAGATGGCTTTGGCTCCACTTCCCCTGGTCCAACCAAGGCTCTGCCTTGACTGACTGATTCCAAATGCGCAGCTTACTCATCACCTTGATGATGGAGGCAGCAAGGATCTATGAAACATTGGTAAACTTTTACCAGACTACACAGCGCTACAACCAAGAAGACAGCCATCTTTGATCTACATTTTCATTTGGTACTGTATAACAATTGGAGTTGAAACAGCATCATAAAATAACCTGAGAATCAGTGATTCAGTAACTCAGAAATTTTATTTGTCATCTGGAACACTAAGTCGTACAATTGCTTCCTTCACATCATTCATGGTAATTCTTCCATTTTTACTATATAACATATGCAATTAACAAAATGTATGTAGGTAAACTGAGAAACCAATCAGTTATTCTTTATTGTCAATTGATTTATTCTTGGTTTATTTAATTTGGTAATTTCGTTGCTATAGACTTTGAGTTGTCATTTGTCAGGCAGTCTTTGTTGCTGTAAGTCTTGAATTATTAGGTGCCTCTTTATTAGAGTGTATGAACAGAATACTGTATTTACATTTAAAATGTGTTGATATTTTAACATTTGTTTCTTCTACAAGGCAGTTGGACTCAGTAGAAGTCAGTGATTCAGAAATATGTCATAAATGTAAACAAATAATCTACGTTTGGAGGCAGCATTTGGAGGAGTGTGTCCCATTATGACGGTCATTGTCATCCATTGAAATTTCCCCCAGACTGGATTATATTATGACAAATTTTTCTATATGCTGTGTTCGTCCTTTGGCACTCCTCTTGTATCTGCAGCCGCTCTTTCCCAACTATCTTTTGTATATCTTTTCTCCACTTTGTCCTTGGTCCTCCCAAAGGTTGCTTATTCAACATCTGCATTTCCAGTACTCATAAAGGATCCTGTTGTCATTCACATGTAACACATGTCCATTCTACTAATCCTTATTTCACCAACTTTTCTCATAATATTTCTACTTTCACATCTTTCTTAATGTCCTGGTTTCAAATTTTATTCCTTCTTATCTATTTATTAATACTGCCAATTTCACTAAAATAAAGTTATAACATAGTATCTGTTAAATCAAAAGTATCTTGAATTACAATGTGTAATAGACTGTACTGTACTCTATTCATAAAAGTCATACCCATTGTTCTTGTATCACAGGCAAATACAGGCACCTAGTGTGTTATACATATAAGATGGTTTAAATGCCCTATGTTAGTTTTTATTATTTTTCCTGGTGATTTTAATAGAGACAAGATAAAGACATTGTTTTTGATTGGTGCAATGAACCCTCCAGCATTGACTGGAGTGCATCATTATCGCCCTCAAGTCAAGGCTCAAACATGACTACGCTTGAATCCTTGTTGTGCCGTGCCGACATGAACACCACAATGACATCCTGCAGGGAGTCGCCCTTTCACATCACTCAACATCTCATATATTTCGTCATATATGTACAACTAGATATTGCCATACTAGCACCATATTAGCAAATCTTTATGAAATTAACCTTCCTGAACCATTCCACTGTCACTTCTATCTTTTGAGCAGATGTGTTTTAGTTCCATTGATGTGTTGGTCAGTGTGAAGGAATGTTGGGTTGTTTCGTTCCACTAATTTTCTTGTCTGGTCTGGAATGATATTACAGATGTTGAATAATTAATTATTTTGTGGGTTAAAACAAATGAGTGAGCATCAGTTATTATTTTTTTATTCTCCTGAAGGAGTTGAATATAAACCAAAAACGATGTCAATTTATTTGCTCACATGTTTGTTCCTTAACATAAATGTGGGAAAAACATCAGTGGTCCCTAATTTCATTGCAGTATTCACCGAAATAAAAATTTAATTGTGAAACAAGTTTCCAGTTGACTATCATATTTATCATGTCTATGTAAATGTTGGTTTTGTCATTTGTAATTTATTAAACTTGTACTCAGTGATACAATGATAGGATGAAATTGCCAATATTCAGACATAGACTCCCTCCACACCAGGCATTCTACATGTTATCTATTGCTCAGAACAATCTTGGACGGATAGACAGGCAGATTTGGTGTCAGGGTAGTCCAGGTTTAAACTTCTTGTAACTGTAAGTTAGCAATCCATCCATGCCACATCTAGCCACAACTGTTCTCTTTGTGTGTTATTTATAAAATGATTGGAGGCTTCCATGATGGGCATATAGCTCAGAGCATCTTTGTGGCTAGTGTCACATTGTCACAAGCTTATGTGCCGATGAATGAGATGCCTATTCAAGAATGTGGTTAGTTGCAATGAATTTCATCACATTATTCTCTAACTTTTTTGTCGTAGAGATTTTGTCCAATTGATTCTTAATAATTACAGTTAAGCAGACTCAATTCAAAATTTCCTGCCTAATTATGTAGATTGTATGTACTCTACTTTCCTGAAGTTATCCATAAGCTTCTGGCATCTTCTGGGAACAATTTGGACACAGTTAATTCGTATTTTGTTAATGGAGTATTATTGAAATAAGTGCATTTATCTTCTCCTTGTTTTCATTGTGGAATCATAGCATGAAACTTACACAACCTCTTCTGAGTGTAGATACTTTAAAATTACAGTGACTTCACTCTTATTTTCAATTTATTGTTTCCCACACTGGACTGTAATATAATACATTTCTGTTGCAAAAAGGTATTGGAAAAAGATATGTTGTATTTTTTTTATCTTTGTCAGCAAATACAAGTATCTGCTTAATGGCCTTTTAAGGTACATTAGGCCAGGCATGAATTTGAATTGTGTGATGTCCCAAAAAAAAAAATCAACACTTATAAAAACAACAGTTGTTCAAAATGAAATTTTAGAAAACTTACAAAGTGTCTCAAATGTTAGCACATTATAGTACTGCAGCTGCAAAGATGCTCTCAATGAAATAAGAAGGCAGTGTAATTTTTAAAACGTTTTAATTGTATGGTGTTTCTACAGTCATAAGTGCAAGAGGATCTTCCAAAGTGTGAACTCCTGTATGATAGGAGACCCTATAAGGAAGATGAGATGTGATTGGCTTAGTATTATATGCAGGGTTTCAGTAATGATGTGTTTCATGTACATTGTTACTGCATAGGTAATGGGTGGGGTTGCAAGATCCCATAGAACAGTGTCCCTTACATAAAAAATATATAACAGCTTCAGGATAATTAAATATGAATATGATGTTATAAATAGAAATGGTGAATGTCTGGAGGGAGAAGTATAGTGATAGGAAGCCCTTATAAAAGAAGTAGTAATGGGAGAGCAAAGTAGTGGGTTGCTATCCAATGGGAAGCAACCACATGGTTCAGAGAAAGAGGTGATAAAAACTTAAATCGAACACCTTCCACTGAACTTCCACTGCCAGATTGTTTGTAAGGGATTCCCCCCTCAGACATTCTCCCTGAAGATTGCAACTGCTGAAACATTACAATACCTTGAACACTTGATTCTGTTTATCCCCAAAAGCCAAAGTTTTACAACATGAAACTCTTTCTGTGAAAGCCTGATGACAAGTGTTTATATGTTAAATTAAATCTCTGGCATAACAGCTCCAGAGAGCCAAAGCCAACTAACTTGACTGCTGGCCTCACGTTCACATGCCTAAGCAGAGGTGAACGATCATCCAACCAGATATAGGGTGGCGTGTGGTCAGCATGACAAACCCCAGCCATTGCTAGCTTTCTTGACCAGATTACGCTACTCATTGTAGCTCCCCAATTTCCTCACGATGCTGGGTTGGCACCGGTCCCATACACTGGTCGAAAGCTCATGAGAAAATTTCTTCTCCCCCGAGACTCGAACCAGCGCACATTCCGTATCGCCGGTCCGAAGCATGATGCCTCAGACCGCGCTGCTATGGTGCGGGACAGTGTTTAAATGTTAATGTATTGATTTCAGTCGTAGCAGAAACATAATGGCCACTATGATGAGATCTTGCACTTTACACCAAACTTCCTCACTAGATGTCATCATTATGAAAGTACTGAAAATGTTGTAGTAGCCTCATGTTTTTCAGGATGGTAAAGTGTGGAAGTTGTATCTGTCAAATCCAAAGTTGGTGTCTCCTTGGAGGTTGGTGGGGTAATGCAGGATGTATGATGTAGCACTGCTTTCCTGGCATATTATCTTGTTATCTGTACACTGAATTTCTCGTACAATTTATTGATTTTGTTCTCCTTTGCTAGGCCTAAATCAGAACAACTACACACATTATTATATGTGCATGACTGATGAATAAATCTTCCACTTATGTACAAGGTTTGTCTTTGTTTGGATTAGTAATTCATGCAATTGGCATTTTAACCCTTCCATGCTATGCATGTGATGTCATTTTGAAGCATTAGTTCTCCTAATCTGAATTTATTTGGTGTTTGAAAAGATTGGTGAAAGAAACGTAACCTACTCTCTCAGTTGTTAAAGTAAATGTAGCTTTCCAGCAATAAAAATTGTACAATATCATGCCAGCATTGGAAAGGTTAACGTGAGGTATTTGACATAGTTTCAGTTTTCAATAATTTTAAACATTCTGTGATATGCATAAAATTTATTATGTATTCAGACAATCCTTAAGAATTAGTATATTAATTCAACTAAATTTAAAGGTTTAAAGACGAGTTACCAGCAGATTTCAAGCAATCTATTAGAGGAAAGAGAAGTTTTGTTGATGTAAAATTGATGTAGGTATTCTTATAAAATACATTTCATTCCTTATTTTTCTTTCTGTGTGATTTTGTTCAAAGGAAATGCAGTTTCAATTGTCTTAGTGTAGCTCAAGGTTACACTTCATTTTGTGATCAAGGATGTTATTTACTTTTTAATATTCTGAAGGAACATGTTTCATTCTTTGGAATTCTGTTGGTGAACTGGGGACAGCCATCTACAGGTTCACCTACTCATAATCGATAATGTGTACACTGATTGACTGATAATCATGAAACTTTGTGTGAACATCATTCCACTGCAGAACACTTCAGTTTTTTTCTTTCAGACTCCCTTTTATTAACAAACCCATCATGGCAGATATGTGAACTTGTGAGGATAAAACAATGTTAGTGTGATGCTATGGGTAGTCAATCAGTTAGGTTTGGAAATCTTGTATGATAATAAATCACTGAAAGTATGTAATTTTTCAGTCAGTCTTTTTTTGATAGAAGTTTCTGAATCTAAAACTATGATACGTTATCATTGACTGTTCTTTATCAGAAATGAAATCTATTATATATATATTTCTTAGAAAGATTTGGATGTATCATTATGGCATATTTAGGTACGGAAAATCTGTAAATTTTTTAGTCACTAATATAACCTATCAAGTGGTCAAGTAGTGTATAAACCCATATCAGCTGTGTACTCAAAATTCAAGTTAGGCAGGTGGTCAAAATATAGATTCATTCACTTATAAATTAATCATTTTGCAGACATGATGCATATCTCTGAAACTGGGTAAAGTGTGACGATATATATATATAAGCAATGTTTTTCTTAAGGATTGTCAGAAGGTTAAATTCTTTTAGTAGTACAGTATTCTGGTAAAAACTGAAAATATTATTGTAATGTGTTATAAAAAGATATACAGTAACTCCTTGTGTTATGAATGTAGGAAGTTCCTGAAAATTCATTGTATCTCATTTGCTCATAAGTCAGTAAAGTATTTATTTTTTTCCATAGGTCCTCTATATATAAATCATAGTCAGTACAGAAGGAGCGAGGGGAAATAGCAACTAACTGTGAACTGAAGTGCACCATGGGTGCAGGATGTGACTGCTCAGACTTTTATATCTGTGAAGTATGAATCCGTGTCAGGAGAAGTGGATTATAACAGATGACATTTGTAAAAATGAAGAGTTACTAAGTGAAATATTTATAACTTGGGGAATGATTAATTATATCTGAGGTAAGAATACACGGAAAATTAAGTTACTTTCATTGATTTTATAAACCTAAATTGTTGTATTTTGGACTGCGCTCGTGTACCCATGTAATGAAATTTCTTGAGCCAAAAGGCCTAATTTCACTATCAGTATTAAATTGAGCTGCAGTGTTTCATTACTGCTACAAAACATAAATAAAGTATATAGGTACATATATATATTTTTAATTTTAATGTATTGTCATTAATGTCAGTCTTCTAGCAGCTCAAGTGTCATGGAAGTACACATGTAATATTTTAATACACTGGAAAGGAACATCACGTGAGAGGAGCTCAATACAAATAATGTAATGGAACAGATTTGTTTTAGTGCTGTGATAGAAGGATGTACTTTTTACTGTTTATCATGAATGATAGTGATACTGGTCATCTTACCATGTGGCTTTTTTTTATTGTTGTTTTGCAACATCTTGTGATAGTGGAGATGACTGGTTGTTCATATTCATATCTGCTGTTATCCCTTATCAATTCTTCACAGTGTCCTTGAATAAGAAATGTTACTTCTTTCAGGGCTTTTCTTTCTGGCAGTATAACAGTATGTTGTGTGCCATACTGGTACATTTTTCTTAAAAAATAAAAATTGTATTAAATTTGGTCATAGGTATGTTAATTTTTAAGAAATTGATTTTTGTTGTTCACTTTCCTAACAATAATATTATTTTGTTTCCAGTAACATTACATTTTTATAACAAAATTAAAGACAGTACAGTAGAGTCCCGATTATCCAACCTCAAGTCGTCGGACATTCTGTTTTATCTGGCGTTCCGTGTTGGAATTTCCTTTTTATCAAGTCGCACATCATGTAGCAGAATGAATAACATTCCCCCACCATGCACCTTCTACATTTTAAGTCCTCGGTTGCTACAGTTGTGCTACTGTTCAGGCACTGGCAGACCTTGCTGCAAAGAAAAGGAAGGAGGCTCATTACCAATTTCTTTAAAAAAAATAAACTCTTTTATTTACATTGTGTTAAATACTGTTTTTGTTTTGATATTTCTTCATCAGATGACATTTTATTTTCTTCATAATTTTATTGTATAATAAATTAGTTGTAAATTGTGTTAATATTGTGTTAGTCTTCTGTGTTATCGTATCGACCATTGGTTTTGTTTAGGTCAGATGATCGGGACTCTACTGTAATTAATTTCCAGAAATAGGATGCCATTACTCTAGTTTCAAAGATAGGTGAGCATTATTATCAATTATTACCATTGCCATAATATGTCAGTTATTTTGTAGTTTTTAAATTATTTTATCAAAAATTCACCTTAAAAAACTAGTGTATTCTTTTCTGAAAAAAGCAAACAACAAAAGTTAGTATATTGAAGAATTAATGCATTTCTTGGATAAAAAGTTGTAAGGGATTGTTATGTCTGTCTTTGTGTTGCATGAAAGAAGTGTCAGTACAATGTACATCTGTATTCCACCTCGAAATTGTCTCCCCTCTACTTTGTCACCTGGCACTTTTTTTGTAAAGAAAAAATTGTGCTCTTTGGCTGGCTTTTTGTATTTTGTAAGAAAAGATAAGTATGTGTTATCTGTCACCCTTAACAACTTTGAACCAATTGGCAGATGTTAATAGAACTTACAAATTAGTGTGACTGTCACGTTACTAGATGCCACTTAAATTTTGTACTTTTTATTACTAATATCTTATTCTCAGTAATATCAGTGGCCATGCATACTTGATACGTGGAACATGGAAATGACTAGTGCCGTCAAATTAAGGTCCTGAAATTCTGTGTGGCAATAAATCCTCAAAAAATGTCACTTTTGCTGAGGTAATTCTTTTCTAGAATGTTAAACAATCGACAGCCTCTTTGAATCCATACTTACTCTTCTGTTTGATGGCATGTGAAGTTTTATAATCAAATAGACTATGTATATATCTTCATGGTGTAGTGTTTAGGCACTAAGACTACTTTGCCTCTTTGAAATTCCTTCTCCTTCCTTGGTTGTCAAGCCATCCAGTTTGACCTTAACATAATGGTGTAATCTGAATTCAAGTATTATGCACTTCAACTTGTTCTTGATCATTGACAGGTACTCTGACCAGTGGCAAATTCTGGTCTAGAAGCTTTGGTATTAAAACTTCGTAGTTGAACAAAAAGCCAAATTTCAAACCTCACCATTGAACTTCATCGTTGAATCGGATCAATTAAATTGGTAATTTTTAGTTGTAGAAACTATTTGTATAAAATTGAAAGTAGACGTCTTAAATTCTTTACATAAATTGTAAAATAAAATACAGTTTTTATTCCAATCACTTAAGCGGGATTTTGTCAAATTCTATAAATGAGCAAGTAATATTTGTGTTTTTGTTGCCCTAGTGGTGTTTTGAAAACAAGGATAATATTAACATGCTGACACTTCAAACTAGTAATCCAGCACCTTTTTTATTTCCATTTGGAATGGAAAGTTACAAAAGATGCGCCTGTTTGCCTCACCGTGTTTGTATGACCACCCGTCTGTCGACGTATAACTCGAGAACAGCTATACGGATTTTCATGAAATTTTATATTTCTGAATTATGCCGAAACTTGTTGACAACATGCAAATTTTGGTTAACATCAGACAATAGTTGACAATTCAAATAAGACATGCATGCGTTTCAGCACGTTTTCGAGATAATTAAACTGAGTTTACATTTACTTACCGAAAATCTAGTAGCTAAAACAAAGCGAAACATCATAATTGTTATGCTAAGCATTTATTTTGCAATCTGAGTTTCTCTTTGTTAAAAGTTGTGCGATTGCCAGGAAACTTGCACAATCACAGAACAAACTTCAAGGTGTCAGAATAAGTATGTTTTTTTTAAATTTAATTTGATAAAATCGTTTGTTTATCGAAACTGTTAGTCTAGTCATGCATAACTCCTAGATTACTACAGTTTTTTATATGCAGGCAAGTCGCTAATGGTATAACCTTGTGAAAGCTTCAGATATAAACCAGTCAAGAGTCTTGTTGCTAAGGGAAAGTAATCAGTTGTTTAGCACTTGCTTCTTGGCACTTACGCAATTCCTTCACACCAGACAAAAGCAAACGTGTAATGGCCTTCAGTTTAATCTACGAGATCAGAGAGTTGCAGATAGGTAACATTATCTCGCGTAAAATGGTTTGATGAAAAGTGTTAAAATACTGCTGTATTAATAGTGTTTCCAGTAAAGGGTAAAGTGAATTCTAAATACTGCCGTCTAAACGGAACTGGAATGAAGAAGTTTTGGTTTTAGAAGAAAGAAGAATTTTCACGGTGAAGTTAGTGTAGTTTTAAGGCAGCTTGAGATGTATAAAACTCGTGCGATTATTTCCCTTTGTTGATAACAAGAACAACAGTGTAAATGTGTAGGCCCAATAGTTTCTCCCTTTTCGTTTCTTTCGACTTTGCATCTTGCTTCCTTTCTTTGTTTTGTATGTTTCTTCCCGTTTGGAGTACACGTATTTTCGCACTACAGATCTGTTGCAAAGAGCACATGTTGAATAAAGATGTCACCTTGGATTTTGTTAAGTTTACACCAAACTGACAAATGTGTGAAATGAAAATAAGGTGTTTCAGAGAATGTGCCAATTCTTATGAACTGCATTTGAGTTTAATGTAAACTTTGGGTAATGTTGAACAGATACTGGCCAACATTAAATTCGCCAATTAAATTTTGGCTTACATACGAAACAAATTCTGTAAATTACACGGCACTACAACTTAGAATACAGCCGTCTTCGGACTCACCGCCGTGAAAACAAGTCCCTAGTTAGTGTCGGAGAATCGTTCGTAGGTTTTTCAATTCGATTTCGTCCAATTATATGAAGTCATGACGGGTTAGAAGGTGAGGATTTGAAAAGAAGCGGTTTTGGCCTGGTTTGAGGTGTTGTCCCGGTATCCGCTTAAGGAAAACTAGAATAGATGTAACCCTACAGACATTCGAACCTGTTACCCCGATGCTGCATTACTGTAAGTACAAGTAGTGATTCACATGCTCATCACTATGTGGCTTGTATGGACTCAAGTCACCGGCTTGTTGCAGCCGCCCGGGTTCGCGTCCCGCTCGGTCCAGTGGGATTTGCAGTGGACGAAGTGGCACTGGGATACGTTTTTCTCTGAACTGTTGGTTCCGACGGGGAAGGAGGGAAGTTAGTGTGGTTATGTATGGCATCATTTATATAATCCAGTATTCTAACCAAAATAAAATTTATCCGATCTGAGCACAGTATGAGCAGTGTAAACACGTAACAATGCAGCGTACACAGCCGCGCAAAATGATTTTGATCGGTGGCTACCTGCTTTTCTATCCCGTTAAATTGAACAAGCTATGCCACTATAATAATTACTGCGGAGTGTTGGTGGAATAGCATTGAAGTCCGTCATTGGACACAATCCTGAGACACTGTTTACTCCCAGCTCCTCAATCTTCCAAGTGCCCATTCAAAGGAAACGTCTTATCGATTGTCTTTTGGGTCGTTGTGCCATGTAGTATTTATGCTGTGTGCCAACGTTTTAGGCTAACATAGGCCCACTTCCATTAATGATTAGGAATACGTATTTGAAATTACGAAAAGTATTGATTGGAAGAAACAAGCGTGGGAAGCAGAGACAAAGAATAACAAGAGAAGCCGCAGATGTGAAATTTATCGCCCTTAGCTGGATATATAAGGGAGAAGTAAAGATCGAGAATTTAATGCAGTAGTTGGGATTTCTACACGCAAAATGATGTGGAAAGACCATGTGGATACGTTGGATGAGGACGTGAAGGAAGACATCGTGCAGCTACACATCAAAGACATTTATAAAATGTCATAGGTGAAGTAATTATTACTAATGAAACAGGTAAATGCGACTACATGTGGCCTGGTGCTGCTCAATACAGACATGAACAGTTACATTTGGGCGCATGAACACTAATAATGCACATTTGTCAAACCAATTGGGCGAAAGAATTTAGTCTCCTGTATATCTACCATTTCTATTAATATATGCCTGTCTGGCGTGGCATGATGCCTTCCTTTCGCCTACATGTTCCGGCTTATATTGAATCTTTTTTATGCCAAAGTAAAACAATTGTCGCCTTGTACAATCAAAACACATAGGTAATAAGATTCGTATGATTCCCGCCAGTTAAAATGTACTGAGGTTACACATTGAAATTAAGATTTAGCCAATTACATTGAAACAGATAATACGTGGCAGAAGCTATTTTTGTTTGCCTTAAATTCTCTGTCTGATTAGTGGCTTGGCATTGATGTAGACAACTATAATTGTATATGTTACTTTTATAAATGTCTTTGTCTGGGTGTTCAACCCCCAAATGCAATATCTGTTATTTAAACGGCGAGTTTCAGATGCTGCGTATGATGTACGTACGTTCTGTAATTTATTGTTAGGTAGCCTATGTACAGAGTGGGTGGGAAGTAAGTAGGCATTAAATAATCGCTGCATTGGAAATATAGAGGTTATAACCATTTATCAATGCCTACTTCCCACCCACTCTGTAGATAGGTGGATGGCCACTGACCTGTTCTTCGTTAACCAAGAAGTGTGTTGTCACATTTTATGCATAGACCGAAAAAATTATTGTTTGGTGGGGAGGTGCAATCAAGCCAAAACATGTTGATATAGTGCAGGAGCCTTGGAGGTAGTTGTTGTTGTGGTCTGTTGCATTTTAAATAGACTTTTAGTGTATGAGTACTGGCGAGGAGCGAAATTACTTTTCCTACGTGTAAATTTATACAGCTTTGTAAGTTCTTTGAAATACAGATCGCTAATGAAATTTACATGTAAATAAATTAAAGTTACGGAATGTGGGTGCAAGGGTATCGAGGGTACCTTTTGGGTTCGTGCCAATTGTGTAGGTGGTTTCTCTTTCTCTGTCTTTTCTGGGCTATGCTGTCGATTCTCCACATTTAGCACCAGTGCACAACCAGTTCATTCCTTGCAGTTGAACAGCTGTTATTTACTGCATTGTGCAGTGGTTCCTAACCTTTAGAAGCGGAACGCGTTTGACCTTGCTTGGTAGCTGATCTGTGCTCAAAGATTGGTGATGAAATACTAGATATATGTCAGATATAGAACTAGTTGTGTGTTTTTGAGGTCGAAGGTCGGTGTATTCTATACTGATATTGAACTCCAAAGGTTAGGTTTTTTATTTAATCTTGAAATATGAAATAAATAGAATAAAATAATATATCATGTACAGAACTGGAGGGTCCATTGATTTTGTGACATCGCGTTAGGAACAGTTATTCATTTCCAAGCAAAGTTATCATTATGTCCACTTCGCTGTTCTTTACATCTGTTGTTAATCATGTTATCAACATGGGGAATTTTACTCGGTGCAGCGGGTGGGCTAGAAATAGGAGCGGACAATTCAGAGGCTGGCCCAATTTTATGCGAACAATGGCGACCGGTGGTAAGGACGTGGGTGACTGTAACTGTTTAGAGAGGACAGAAAAATGTTTTGTGACAATAGAGAACATGAATCCATGTTTAAAGAGAATGGAGTATGCAGTACGAGGCCCACTTGTAATCAGGGCATCCGAAATCGAAAAGGAACTACAGGAGGTAAGATAACCTTCGTGTTGACATGAGGGGTTATTGGAAGGGCTGCCAAGTCACTTCGTTACCTTTAGAACGCATTCATGGATAACAGGTAAGAATGCAGGAATAGCTGTAACAAGAAACGCACAGTATTTTGAAGGGTATCTTGTCCAGCATATTTGAGAACAATTATGTTACTTTGTTAGGTTATGTGTTCATTGCATGCGTTAATGATACAGTGACACTTCTGACATTTTGAATTGGAACATTGATGTGCAGGAAATGAAAGTTGCCTGTATATAATTGGAAAGTGAGGACCTTTATTATGACAAGCTACATATAAACATGTCATATGGTCTGAGTTTCATACAAAACTGAAGAATGCAATTTGGGTTCAAGCCAAGCACCTAAATTAAAGTATAGTAACTTAATACCAAACCTAGCACAGCCAAGTCAATCTAAACCAAATGAGGAAGGTGAAACTTGCAGTTCTGATTCTGCTTTTCTGCTATTGAGATCTTATAATGTGTTTCAGGGAGTCAAGAAGCCCTTTTCTGAAGTGATCAAAGCCAATATTGGCGACTGCCATGCAATGGGACAGAAACCACTCACATTTATCAGGCAGGTTAGAATTATTGTCTTCACTGATTGCCATGTTTACAATTGTCTCAACTGTACAGGTTGTTTGATCAATTCCATTGTCATTTCAGCAATATGAAATAGATCTAAAAAAATGAAGTGTTCCCTAACTTAAAACTTATTTTCTTCTACAGTTTCTCAATTAGTAATCATCTTTCAAAACATATGTTTTCACTTTTTTGTCATATTCATGCATGTTTAAATATTTCAGCATACTGCACATTCCATTTGTTACCTAGACATACATGTGCCACTGTGCATTGCACATCTATCTTAATTTGTGTTGTGCCCCCAGCTGTGGCACTACCCTGTTCTTGCATGCGTTATTGTCTTTTTACCAGGTTCTCGCCTTAGTTTCTTACCCAGCACTTCTTGATGACCCCCGGTTCCCAACTGATGCCAAGGCTCGAGCAAAAGATATCCTGGCTGGCTGCAGGGGTGGAAGCGTTGGTGAGTTTCCATATTGTCAAAATTAGTGATCTGAATCAGATATGTTTACACTGCAGATTGTCTTCTAGACAAGGAGTGATAATTTGGGATAAGTGATTGCCAAACTGTGTTCTGCATAACATGTATTCAATGAGGAATTTTCAGAGATGGTATAAAGTAGTGCTTTTCAGTATGAATGCCAATAAAAGTCTTATTTTGATTAAATTAAAAATTTGAAGTTGAAACGAATGTAATTTTTCTTATTAATTACAAGTGCACTATAGAAGTCTTCAGTTTTTATTTTCTTTGTTATTCCATTTCTGTATATCATAGAAAACTACAAGGTAATGGTGATTAGGACTCTTGCCTTATTTCCAGGAAATCAAATGTTTGATTCTTGTGTTTAAACCAGGCTGTCTGGCCAAGGGTTATTTCCTCCCCTTAGTCACTGAAGTAGTACCTTAAAGTAGACCCTGATCACTTTCTTCCCCACATCATTGTCATCCTATCTGATGCTGTATGGCCTATGCAGTTGTAATTGCAGTGTGTTTTTTTTAAAAACATTTCTTACAGGATCATACACAGACTCCCCTGGTATTGAGATCATAAGGAGACATGTTGCACAATACATAGAGAGGAGAGATGGGATTGGCAGTAACTGGGAAAATATCATTCTGTCGGCTGGAGCCTCTGATGCTATCAAGGTGATGCATGAGGAAGTTTGTTAATTATGCAACTGAATAAGAATAATCAAATGAGGCTGTTATTTATTCTGGACAGAACATTTAGCTTTGATGAGTGAAGCAAAATGCTCATTGAACTTTGATGGGAAAACTCTTGGAAGATTAAGATGGAAATAATATTAAAATTAATCTTACAGAGATGGGATGTGAGTATGTGTAAGTGGTTTTAGTTAGCTCAGGATAATACTATTTAATGTAGACTTTGTTATTAGGGATATTGAACTGTCAGGTTAAAATGTATGCTCTGAACTGAAATATACCTTTCAGCTCTTGTTTAATATCTTCATGATTATTTGATCACGTTATTTACTAAGCTCTCATGACATTTACATTTTGCCTTTTTCTTGATTTTTGTCAGTCAGTGATGAAGCTGTTGGTTAATGAAGTTGATGGCAAGAAGAGCGGAGTGATGGTCCCCATTCCCCAGTACCCTCTGTACTCAGCGACACTGGCTGAGTTCAACATGCACCAGGTCTGTGTTTGTATGGTAACTGCTTTTTATCCCATGATGTTTGATAATTGAAGTGAACGATTAATTACCCGAACTCCCCTCCACAAAAGACATGGCCACACATATTTTAGTAATGTTACTGTTTAAGACTTGAGGTTCTCACAGCGGTGAGTATGAAGATTTCCGTCTTCTGGGTTGTTGCGCTGTGTAGTCTGGTCGATGTTAACCAACGTTTCAGAGGTCATACTGCCTCCGTCATCAGGGCGATGAGTATGAAGATTTCCGTCTTCTGGGTTGTTGCGCTGTGTAGCCTGGTTGATGCTAACCAACGTTTCAGAGGTCATACTGCCTCCGTCATCAGGGCAATGATGACGGACGCAGTATGACCTCTGAAACGTTGGTTAACATCGACCAGACTACACAGCGCAACAACCCAGAAGACGGAAATCTTCAATGTTACTGTTAGCTGTGAAAACACAAGTTTCCTTTTCAATCAGGATGACATGACTGTCAGTGCCCAAAGATGGTAAAGATAAGCTTAAAATAAACACCACTTCTTCTGGATGGAAACTTCTAGTGTACCTCAGACATTGAAACTATGTACAATATAACCACATTGTATTGCCTGCTGCTTCTGCAGTGAGGGATAATCATTCTGATCTCTTCAATTTCAGATTGGCTACTACTTAGATGAATCACGAGCTTGGGGAATGGATATAGCTGAGCTGCAGCGGTCTTTAGATGAAGCAAAGAAGCATTGTATACCACGAGCCATTGTCGTAATCAACCCTGGAAATCCTACAGGTATTCTGCATACTGGCTTGTTTCTTATTTTTTTTGCTACTATAGTCAGACTCAAATTTGCTAGTACCATTTCTGAAAATACATATATATGTAACTGAACAAGTTAGTGTAGCAATTACACTGTGGACCTGTATTTATGAGATTCCTGGTTTAAGCCACGTTTTGGTTTCTTTGGTGTTTCTTTTGGTTTCTTTCATTTTCTTTATATTAGTGCTGTGTTAGTGCCTGAAAGCAGGTTACGACTATATCCTTCTAAATACTTAAGTACTCACTGTTTATTTTCACCTTTCTGTATCAGTTAATATTGTGATGAACTTTTATCAAGGAAGTGTTGATAGCTTTTGGGTCATATGTAGTATCAAATGGACACATTACATATTGAACTGATATAATCCACTTCATCTCTCTTTGGAACTGTTTGGAGACTTTCAGGTTGCTGTGTATTTCTGTGCATATTTTTATAACCTGAATAGACTCCACTATGAAAGAATATTATTTCTTGAAATTAGATTGTAGTCTGTACAGCAGTACGTTATGGCTGTTGTGTGTGTTTCTAACCGCAACAGTATATATGCTCAGCAGTTTAAATAGTGGCGTCAAGAAATTTTTGAATTGTTGAGAATTATTCTTTGAACTTTCAAATTGAAATAGCTTGTATGACTGATTAAGCTTTCCACTTATGCAGTTTGGTGCTTTGTACTTATTGTGACACAATTTATTGCTTTTAGGTCAGGTGCTTTCCAGAGAAAACATAGAAGAAATTATAAAGTTTGCATACAAGGAAGAACTCTTTATATTTGCAGATGAGGTGAGGAAAGAATCGGAATACAGATAAAGTAGTCGAGGACACCAAATGCGCTCTCCCATTCTTCATAACTCTAGGTGCAGTCTGTAACACATTCCTATTCGTACTTATCTAGTAGAGACAACTTCAGTCATTGCAGGCAATCAAACACTGCTGCATCCATGTCTAACACGCTGGGAACCAGTGACACTAAAGTTCATCTGATTTCTTTTTAAAAAAATTTGTCAGCAGTAGGTACCTTTTCTTTCTTGTAGATGCAACACACTCATGATTCCACCAGTAAATTATATCTAGACTACTTGTAAAAATTTAAGTATCAACGATAAAAACAATACCAAGATGGCAGATTGTTGAAGAATTGGTAGTTGGTATTTGAAGTGAACATATATTCAACTACCTTATGCATCAGAGCAGCTTGATACTTTCTCCATTCCTGCAGACTTTGAAATACCCTATATGTTAAGAACAATTATATTCATTGATACTGCTTTATGGTATTTCATATTCAGGATGAAACAGAAGCCACATAGTTGACTTTCTGGGCAACTTAAGTTTTCCCAGGAGGCATTAAAAATGTTTTATAATTCTTTATATACATTCCGTAGTTATGCTTATTGGTAATTCAAGTCTTTTAATGTAAATATTATTAATTGTTAAAAATCGTAGATACATCATCATTATCAGTTATGAATGCAAAGTTTTTAAAAGAAGTGGAGTGATATGTTCCTTCGAATATGGCAGAACATTTGGAATTGATACATCTCTGTGGAGAATGTTGGGATAGTACCTATTGAGAGCATTATTAAGAAAACCATAGATAAATAAAATAATATACATGTAATTTTTTATAAACTAACAAATGTTTATGTCTGAACACAGGTGTATCAGGACAATGTATATGATCCAAAGAGCAAGTTCCATTCCTTCAAGAGAGTTCTGATAGAGATGGGGGAACCATATCACAAAATGGAGTTGGCTTCATTTATGTCATGTTCAAAAGGTAAAGAGGTTGAATTTTGAAACTGTGAACATATTTATATGTTCTTCTGAACATGGAATATCTTAAATATGGTAGATTGGAGTGTGTAATACAAATTAATAAGTAGTATGGGTTGATATTATAAATTACACAAAAGAGACATTTGGAAGTGAACTTGAAGTTTGTGGATGTTTAAAGGAATTAACAGATGGAAAGATTGCAAATGTTTGGACATGTTAAAAGAATACTTGTAAACAGAATACCCAGAAAAGAATATAAATTATGTATGGGATTTGAAAAATGATGAAAGATTGATTCACATTAAAATGACTTACTCAAGTGGTTTGTGTATTAAAGCAGAGGGAAGGAATGAACTGTCATAAAGATTAAATAATGTGATCAACAGAGACTTTAAGACTTGTCATCCATCAACACCTACCTTTTGCTGAAAATTATACTTGTAGAAGAAGAATAAATTACATAATTATCGTAGAATTTAAGGTTTTCTCGGCGGCAAGTCTGAAGATGGCTAATTTCTGGGTTGTTGTGCCATGTAGTCTGGTAGAAGTTTACCAACATTTCAGATGTCCTTGCTTTCTCCATCTTCAGGGCAATGCAATGGCACAACAATCCAGAAGACAGCCATCTTACATAATCATTGTTTATTAAATGACCTTTTTTGATTGTTATTTTATTGTAATATGTGTGAAAACATTCATGGCATTGGCTCACATTCATATACTCTGTTATATGCTTCAGGGTACATGGGAGAGTGTGGTCTACGTGGTGGTTATTCAGAAGTTATCAACTTAGAACCTGATGTCAGAACAATGTTATTTAAATCCATCTCTGCCATGTTGTGTCCAACAGTTCTTGGACAGGTGTGTAAGAAACAACATGCAACATAATGAACACCATGTGAATGTCTTTTGGTTGAAGGTATAATCTGTCTAGTATCACACTCTAATAAAAGTGTAAGCCATTGTGTACATGTTAGATTGTCTGTTTCGCATCTTTTGTATTTGTGTTTATGTTGAAATCTTAAAATCATCAAGTCAGTTCTAAAATATCTAATATAATGTGTCAGTATGTTATGGCATTGAAAAATATAACCAAGTGAAATTATATTTAGATGTGAGGCAGTGGATAAAATTGTTATCTTGACTGAAAATTTAATATACTTGAGAAGTAGTATGTCATGTGCTTTTGCAGAGTGTGATGGATGTAGTTGTGAATCCACCGGTGCCAGGTGAGCCTTCCTACGAAGAGTTTACAAAGGAAAAGAAAGCAGTTCTGAATTCATTAGCAGAACGGGCCAAGATGGTTGCTGAAACGTTTAACAGTATTGAAGGAGTATCTTGCAATGAAGTTCAAGGCGCTATGTATGCTTTCCCAAAGGTAAAAATATTTTGATGCAACAGTTGGAAGTGTTAATTGTCTAGTTTTGCCTGGGAAGGTTAAAATAAGAATTTACACTTAAAATTATTCATTGTCAGGACTTTTTCAATCGTCTGTTCTTTAAAACCACAACGTTTTGGAGACAGAATCAGTCTCCGAAACGTCATGGTTTTAAAGAACAGACGATGGAAAAAGTCCTGACAATGAATAATTTCAAGTGTAAACTACCGTCGTCAAAACCCTTCATATTTAAAATAAGAATGTTCAGTTTGTACAAAGTGTTAATGATGTTTAACCTTGATCCTTCATTTTGAAGAATTTAACTTGTTTGTTGCAGCTTGATCTACCAAAGAAAGCTATTGAGAAGGCAGAATCCTTGGGACAATGTGCTGATGTATTTTATGCATTCCAGCTGCTTGAAAATACAGGCATCTGTATAGTACCTGGTTCTGGCTTTGGGCAGAAAGCTGGCACATTTCATTTCAGGTAAGTGTTGCTCTTGTGCTTAAGCATTATACTGTGAAGGCATATGGAGAGTGGATGCAAGATCCACACATTCTTAACATTTGCACCAAATGGCGTTTCATGCTTTGGCTGCTTTACCCCTGAGTCATTCGTCAGGGATTGCAATTTTCACTCATAATGAGTTACTGAATTTTTTAACTGTGTGTGTCCAAATTACTTACCCCTCATGTTTTCTTATGTTTGGGCATTGTTTTAATGTTCTGGCTATTCACTATTTTGATGCTCTGCCAAGGTGTTTAATGCATGAATTGATTTATCATTACTGGCATGAGGTTATTTAGTGACAGATGAGTTGAGGTGATCATGAATGGATTGTGTAAAGATATGAAAGGAGATATTTTGTGGGCTGTTTCTGTCTACTGTTTTGGCCTCAGCCTGGAGAAAGTGAGGAAAACCATGGAAGCCCATAACACCTGGACTGTGATTTTAAGTGGATACTGGCTGAGTATCAAGCCATAATATTACTGCTGCATTAACCCATTAACCCTTCAATTTCACAGGATGAGAGATTTTTCTTTTTATGTGCAGTTGAAACTGTCATTAAATAACCTTAGAATCTATTATTTATCTGTGATCTTGTGCTTCAGCACAGCTGAACTTTTAATTATTTTTAACGAGTTCTAGTGCTGAGGTTAAGAAGGTCTTTAGTGCCATGGATATATGTTTATAATGTAGTGCTTAAGCACAGGGATAATTTTACTGACTCTTGTTTCAGGACTACAATTCTCCCCCAACCAGATAAGTTGAAGATAATGCTGAACAAATTTAAGGAGTTCCACTTAAAGTTTCTCACACAATATAAGTAAGAAACTTAGTTATTGGGCTCCCCTCTCTTCCTGTTTCCCTTTCAGCCAATTTAATCATGTTATGTTTTATACAGGTGTCATGAAGACATTTTAATGTGATTTATATTGAATTGAAGGTTGGGCACACATTTACGTATCATTTATTGTTAAAGAGTAAGATTGTTCTGAATGGCAAACTGTTCGGAAGATGAAGTTCAGAGTTGGTCTGCAAAACTGAGGAAAGAGAACACTGATGTGAATATGATGATGCAGGTGCTTGGAATTTTTGTGTGCAATATTGACTTCATCTTAGGAATCTCTTTTGAGAATTCTTGTTGGTCTCCATTTTGAATATCCAGAGTTTGTTATCCTGATAAATGCTGTTTGCAGAGATTAGGAATTGCAGTGCATAGAAATGTTATGCTATAGTATTCAGTTGTTTATAGTGGTGATCTTAAATAACTGATATTAAAGCATCTAGTCACCAGTTACCATATTAGGTTTGAGCTGCAACACATGCAGATTAATAGACCAATTTAACATGTTTTAAAACTGTTGTTCAAGCTGTATATGAAAATGTAAAATTATTCTCTTTCCAGAATCTGTTTCATGTTTATAAGAGGTTAGATTTAGTAGGGCTGCAGATAAGGTAGGACCAAGATTTTATTTAATAACCTCATATCGCTTCATGTAGTATTATTAGGGTTATTAAATTAAGGCGGGTGAGTTGTGAGGGGCATCTAGCATGCATGGAGTTGATAGAAGCATATACTAATGAATAGTCTGGAAAAATATTGTGGTAATGGACCACTTGGGAGACCCAGGCATTGATGCAGGGGTTGAATATTAACAGAGTACTTAGAAAAATAGGAAATGAGCATGTATACTATATTCACCTTGCTCAGGATAGGGACCAGTGTTGGGCTTTTAGGGACACAGTTATGAACTTTCAGGTGGGCAAATTTCCTGACCATCTGAGCAACTGTGAAGTTTTTTAAAAAGCCATCGAGTTGGTATTTTTGTACCAAAAGTCAATTAATTATTTATGTGCCATAATTAAATGTCAGGAAATATAATAATTATAATGAACAATTATACAAAAAGGGGAATTATAGAGTTATATTTAATATTTTATTAAAAAATATATTAGTGAATATCTGGCCCTTATTAGTGACTACTGTCTGTAATATATAAAAGTTTTAAGTCTTCCATAATTTATTTTACATATAATCAGTGCAGTTCTGAGTTAGTTCAATCAGGAAAGTGACTAGCTACAGGATGGATATCTAGGGTTTGATTCCGGACAGGCACCATGATTATTCTTTTTACCCCATATCCAGATAAGCTCTGGGGCCCTGACCAATTTTCTGTTCAGTAAGTGGTGGGGATTATTTTCCTGGTGGTAATGTGGTCAGAGCTTGTACCTGACCACCGACCTCCAGTTAGTGACATGGTTAGAAATGAGTAGAGCTTTACCTACATGTCCCTATGTTGTTTCATGGAATATAAGCAAGGGTAAAACTTTTGAATCACCTTTATACCTAGTAAATGACTAACCTTTCAATCAGTATTTTGTTCAGAGTTGGCAGAATTTTTAGGTGTTTTAAAAAAATTTGTTTCTATAAAAATTATGTTAACCTTTAATATCCCTACATCATGGCGTATGCACAGTCCAATTTGCTGTTTGTTACATTAGTGTGTCACTAAGCCATTAGATACTAGTTAAAGGCTGGCCTGTAGTACCATAGTATGGCATTTCAATTCTCTTTTCTTATATGATGAAGATTCATTAAAAGTAAGGTTAGGGTTATGGAATTAAGTTTTTTGGATGTACCATCAGTCTAGTCCTAACAAACTTCCAAATTTGGACCTTCTATTTCTCTGAATTTCAAATTCTTAAAATAATATACCTCCACTTTCAGCCCCTTGCCTGAACCTCAGAAATCTACTTTTGCATCAGCTGGCTCGGTATGAAATCCAGCGGTGGTCAGCTGTTGTGATTGCATATATATATTTCAAGAAAGACCCTGGGCCATGTAATCAGTTATTAGCAAACTACAGAGATACTTCCTAGTGATGAAGTCTTTTGTATCAACAAAAATTCTGTTATTTTATCATTAATGTTTCAAGGTAATGAATTTAAAATAATGCGTGGTTTAAATTATTTTGTTTATTGATATGAGATTAAAAGGTTTGCAGCATAGCTCTAAATCCTGCAAAACACAAATTTGCTTAAACTATACTGCATCAAGTAGATCTGTGATATTAAGAATGTACAGTGGATTCTGGTCAATTGGGACACATCAGGACTAGAACACTTTGCCCCAATTATGTGAAGTTCCATGTAAAGAGTTAAAAAGGTTTGTTCTTTAAGATTTGTCCCAAATAAATGGCTGGTCCGATTAACTGATGGCCCAATTAACCGGACTCTACTTTATTACAAAAATACTGCATGGCTTGGCAACCATTAAGACTGCTTCTGAAAGGTCAGTGAATCAGAGTTGTTAAGTATCTGTCTTCTCTTTAATTTTTCTCAGTTTAAATATGCAGTGGATTAATTGATGGAAGTACAATTGGGCATATCATTTGCTAATGAATGGCAGTTAAAAAGGAGAGATTGTCCACAAAATGTTAAATGTAAAATTAAAATTAGAGTTGAGAATTAATATTAGATTCAGGTTTCTTGGTGTGTACAAGGTGCTTGAAGCATTTTGTATGATATATTAATAAGACAAACCTATGTTCAGTTGTAACTTGGTCCTGCATGACAGTGGTAACTGAGATTTGAGGTTATGTATGTGGATGGTAGTCTTCTGGGTTGTGATGTCATGTAGACTTGTTGGTTCAGAATGTTTAGGAAGAACTTATTTCTTCCATTTCTAGGTTTGATATAGCAGTCAGTAGTTTGGAGATCATTGTTTCAGGTAGCAGTGATGATTACCATTGTGTGCCAACAAAATGACAAATTTAGAAATGTAATTATATGATAAATTTTTATCTTAGGACTTAGTGGCAATATTGTAGATTGAATTTGGTGATATGGGTTGCATTGAATTTGGCATACCTTGATGATTGGGATTATGACGTATATTCACAGTTCAAAGAATCTGTTTGGAAATATGTGATTTTGCGTTCTTTTCGTGATGCGGATTTTTTCCATACTTTTAGTATAAACATGTTACATGTGGTCTTCATCATGCTGAATTTCTCTTTCCACGTATTTTTCTTTTAACCATAGACATTACCATATTTTATCTATGTTGTGGCTATATATTGGGTGCTAACTTTTATTAGGTCACAAACTCGCTCATTGATGAAAATGTCTGTGGTAGGACAGACTTCAGATGTGAGGATTCACATCACAGTGTTCCTGTATCATATCAGTTATCGTAAAAGTCTGCATGGGCCTGGGCCTCAGCACAGATCATGTTTTAATCTGGACCGGGTTTGGGCCCGGTTCAGATGATAGCGATCGAAAGTAACGTAGAACATTCTGACCTTTCTCGGGCCATTCTCTTTTGTAAAGAAAACTTATTTGTAGTTGCACTCGTCATGCTTGTGACACTGTTGAGCTCTATAAATGAGTTACACCAACTTGATTTTCTTGGAGATTTTCATAACTGCCCCCCTCCCAGAAATCACTCAGAGTAGCACCTTACAAACTAGGTATCAGATATCTTTGTACCAATCCTTAAAAGCCAAAATAGCCATAGATACTCTTAGTGCATCATTAAATAATTCATTCAAGGATTACTGGCATTTATGCGTTAATGAAAAGTCGGGTTTAGGTCTGGTACAGGTAACGTATTTGAAGATAGACTTCGGGCTCGGGCTTTATGTTCCTTGGGTTGCACTGGATGAAATTCTAAAATCTCAGCCCATGCAGACCTGTAAGATATCTTGTGATTGAAAATTACAGTAATTTGGTATGCACTTAATTTTCAGTGCTACCACAATAACACTGAAAGAGTTTTACAAGTGCATTGTGTTTATTTCAGTATCACTTAAAATGTATTATGTAGTACAGGACGCCATTGGCTGGATTGAATAAGGAGGAAATACGATAAATCCTATCCCACGTTGCATGCTCGTAATACTTAGCGTTTAATGTCCACCAAGATTCCTTAATCCATTTGTAGTGCAGTATTATGAGATTCTGAACAATATCTTTTTCATAAGCTTTTTATTTGTTTTGTGACATGTACATATTTTTTTGTTTTATATATTTTTAACCATTTTGATAGATTTTACCTCAGTGACTATAGCAATGAATTCTTTTACTGAACTATAATATTTAATTATGTTTGTGTTTGTACTTTTATATAGGTGTATTTTGATGCATTTTATTCTACTTGTATTATTTATTCAGTTATTCTTCATTACACATGGCTTCTTTCCTATTGGGAAAGATGGACAGTGTAAAAGCAACATTAAAATATTAATAAATGTATATATTACACAGCCATTTGTTGTTTAACCTTCATGGACAACATTTCGTGACTTACATGCAGTCCACCTAGCAGCCTCTTGGTATGATTTAAAATACCCTATTCTCATATGATAAAAGTTAATGGCATTCAGAAAATTTCCTATAATTGAAATATTTTAAATTTGTAAGATTGACTGGAATTTTAGCAGTTTTTGGTTGGTTGGCTGTTTTGTTTCAGAGCATGGACTGTGCTGTAAAGAGTTTGAACTGCCACCCCCACCCCCCATTTTCATATTCATACTTTTAACAGTTGATGGCACTGTTTATACATTTATTTTCTCTTCATCTCATCATCAGTGTTTTCAGCAGAGCTAATACAATTTCAGTCCAGTAATAGGTCTGCATGCTCATATTTGTTCTTATATTTTATTCAACATCCGTTTTAATAATATCCTCTCACCTATGCCTACATCTCCCATGTTGTCTCATCCCTTCGGGCTTTCTCAGCCAAACTGAGTGCACACTTCTCAAGTCTCACAAGCATACTACATGTCCCGCCTATCTTACCCCAATCGTCCTAATACTAAGTAAATAGTACAATCTGAGTCACTAATTTTCAACTTTGTTTGGATTCATCTGCCTCGGGATGGAGACCAGTGGTTTGCTTTTGTAAACACGGTAATGAACATAAAAGACCGAGAATTTCTTTGCCAGGTGAATGTATTATCAATAAGGAATCTACTCTATGCACGAAACAAAGTTAATGCTTTGCACTGCCTTCCACAGTGAATGTTGCTTCCACCAGACAGTAGGACATTGCTTTTAATTAATGATTGAAGATTTCTTTAGTCGTTGTTCAATGTTGCCAAGTTTTGTATATTCTTCCGCATGTTGGCTTTCACTTTTAGAAGAAATGGTAACAAACAGTTGTGTAATAAGGTCCATATCTTTACCTTGAGTTTGACGGCTCTGCATCACGCATGCGTGTTGCATCAGAAGGTGTTCACGTGACCATGACGTCTTTGTTAAGCATACTTCTCTCCTTTCACGTAAAGAAGTATAATCATGTTTTATGACTTGAAATCTGAGCCTTGTTAACACTGCGTGTCTGTATTTCCTTCTGTCGAACGTAACACCTGAGATTTAAGATCTGAAATAATGAATTTTTGACATTTAGCATGACTCCTTGGACAGTAAATTGGCCTGGCTTAAGACACCATGTAAAATAAGGCGTCCATAAATGAATGCCTCGAACGGGAATCAAACCCGATGTTTCAGTGTACTAGAGGTCAAAGACAGCGCGCGGCAAATAATCTGTACTCTTCCCCTAATAATGGTAATTAGGTTACTGAACGACTCTATATCAGTTACTTTATCATGTAACCAAATGACATGTGGGACGAAGCGATCGTACGTCATTTCAGGGTACTGTTTCGGAACTGGCTGGAGGGGTTGAGGTGAGCCATTAATTCGGTCGGTACAGCCGTCCTCTGGTCCGAGACAACACGGACTTTCTGGAATACGAAGCCACATCTTGCCGTTCGGTCGCGGAAGACATTTCGCTACCAAAATTTTGGTTACGTTGGTTTTAAGTTTAGTTTAAATTAACTAATTTACGTATGTACTTAATAGAAATTTCAAATATTAATACACTTCAGTCGAATGTAAAACACAACAATTAATCATTCCTGACAGCATTTGGTACTTAACTAAACTATTTAGCTAAACATAGTCTGGTGATAGAACCAACGACGGCCACTGGGCTCGATAGTGAACTAGTTCAGTTCCCACAACCCTGCTTCGTAACGTCGAATTTAGAAAGTAAGAGGAAGAAGCAAATTACGACACATGAACTTTTTGATGATCACTCTGTTCTGCAACCTCGCC